GCTATTCAAGTCTACACATTTGCACAGTAAAATCAAGTCTAACTATATAAGATAGTGTTTAGTTGTTTAGTGTACATGAACCAATGTTTATTCATGATGTTCTAATTTAAATACCACTGAAGATATTAAGAATTTTCGATGACTGACATTTAGGGTGAAGATATTCAGTAAGGCAGTTTACACAATCACTTTTTATCAAATGATTATATTAGAATGAAAGTATCATAGGAAACTCTTAGGCATATTCATTTAACAGTGAATGGAGAAACTGATTATTTATTCAAATCCTGAATACAAATCGATAATATCTGATAACAACATAGTTGAATGTATATATATGCTCGTGATTATCTGGCCACCGATGGTTGTGAGATAATACTGTTCGAAGCAATGGGTACTGGATTCACATTCGAGTGTAAAACATGACGACTAGAAGGCAGCAGCACAAAACTCAACGAATGAGGTAGCAGTTAATATGAAACATGTGTATTGTTGCGTAGCTCTACTAGCGGCAATTCGAAATTACACCAAAGACTTACTGTATCGAGGTATATGTCGTTGTACAAAGATGACAACAAAAGAGATTGGTGAAAGTCATCGTGATTATTGTTACGCATGCACATAAACACGTCAACGTGATATACTTGAACTATTACGAGTTTCCCTAGTCAGGAAACGAGAGCGAGGATCGACGATCCGGCGACACGACATTCTACTCAAATCCGATTATCCCAACCCCCATATTAAGTAAAAATAAGAAGACTTGATATGAAGTAGAACATGTATTCTACAAACATCCAGAAAGTACGAGGTCCGAGTCCAGAAGAGAATTAGGATTCCGGACTAGGGATCCTGGTCCGGGTTCAGGTCATAAATCATTACAGATAATCCATATTTATACAGTTAGGTCGAATAGGAAACAGAATCGAAGTCTGTGACATTGACAGTTTTAGACGACCAATAGGAAGCAACATTTGAAATGACATTGATATCTATGACGACCATAAAATTGACCAATAATTCTCTTAGGATATTGGATGAATATCCTAACCATTATCAACAACGAAAAGTCGGTAACCCGTTCACATATATATATATATATATATATATATATATATATATATCTGTTTAAGGTCATTTGACTAAGGGATAGTAATATGGCAGTGAATATTATCGATTCTCATTAAGAACTTTGATTTTGACAAATTCGGTCTCGTGTACCCGTAACAGCACACGAAACCGAATTATCAGTTAAATCAACTGTTCATCTCTTTCAACATTAAAAATACAATTAAAAAAACGGTGTAAAATTTCAAATGAAATAATGCGTAATTAATTATCATGAATAGTCAGTCAGTCAGTCCTCACCTAAGCATTTCTCCAGTTAATTGTAACATTTCACGTGTTTGAAAAAATATTAAAGCTCTATGTTGACTTAGTAGACTTGAATCGGATTCTAAATCATGCGATGAATTTGATGAAGATGATAACGGGTTGTTACCGCTGTCAACACTTGTGTTGTTGGTGTTAATTGCAGTTGGACTGCCAAAACCACAATCAGTTAGAAGACGACTTTAATTGACAGGTAAAGAACAATAAAAAAAACATACGAACAAAGGTAAGAAGTATAACATCACTAAAGAATAATAATAATCGATGACAAGTTGAATTGAAATCATGAATCGATCAATGCTAGACCATCATTAGAAACTTGGAAGAAGCACTGAAAGACAGTCGTTTCATCCTGGTATAGGACACATCAGCGGCAGTGCGCATCCACGATTGCTACACCTCACAGGATTCCAACGTAGGATCTTCGGTCTTTAGTGCGAACGCCTTACCTCTGGACCACTGAGCCGATATCTAACGAGGTGTTAATGTTTGACTTCGAATCCTGCGAGGTGCAGAAGTCGTGGATGCGCACTGCCACTGATGAGTCCTATACCAGGACGACACGACCGTTCAGTGCTTCCACGTTTCTGTGTTGGTCTAACGTTGATCGATTGATGATTTCAATGGCTAACTTTACAATCTTCACAACCCCATAATGCGACAGGTTAAATGTCAAATTTTACAGTTCCGTTGATCGGAAACATACAGTTCCTATGAAGTTTCACTTTAGCTTATGTTCATGGTCAAGAAATAATATATATATATACTACTTCAAATTGATATTTAGACAAAAGTGAATTGAGATGATATAAAGACTGAGATTTTCAAGGTATAACCACCACCTTGTAGGATTAGATGAAGAGTAGAGTATGAAGAATATGGGGTGTCACAGACATTTTCATTGCCAGAGGCTGTTCACCTTAAATACTTGTTGAAGATATAGGTATGGCCTGCTACGAAAACTACAACTGCCTCGCTGGGATTTTCAATAATCAAGAGACAAGAGCGTTCCGGATACACCACATTCTAAGAGCTTTTCAGAAGAGTTAGTATACAGGAACAAGTATAACTGAGTGATGTGGATATATGACAATAGCACATAAGTAAATTTACAGTAAAACTACTACTACTCATGTACATATGAGTAGTTAAATATATATGCATTTTCTAAACCTATTCTTTGACAAAGAGTTTCAACAGAGTATAAACTCCGGTGCATAAAAGATCTCAGTTAACTTGGAAATCATGATTTGTTCTCACCAATAACTTAATAGTAATGATATATATATACATGAATATGGAAGCTTAACGTAATCAAAAACATAGAAATTTCGCACATTTGAAATCATCAATCAATCACATTGTTAGACCACCATTAGAAACCTGGAAGCACTGAAAGACGACCGTTTCGTCCTGGTATGGGACTCATCAGCAGTGCGCATCCACGACTCCTGCACCTCAAAGGATTCGAAAATATGAGCTCTTGTACAGAAAGAAGAGCAGCGCAAAACTTTACAGAGACAATCCATATTTATACAGTTAGGTTGACTGTGAATACTAACCAATAGGAAAACAACGTTTAAACGTATGTGAACGTGATAGTTTTAGGACGACTATTAAATATTGACCAATAGAATAATTAGTCTTACAAATAATTTCTTTTGATTAATTGATAAATAATATTCCTAA